CAAATAGCCTTACACACAGCCTTTAGGGATCTAACCTTAGGTTATCATGATCCTCTGTGTTAGTACAAAAAAAAAAAAAACTGGCTTCTCACATCACAGCTGAAATTGACACTCTGAGTTCACAGCCTCTAACTAGACCTTCCATTTCAAAGAGGCCCCTCAGGCAGGAAACATATTCTACATATTCTCCCCATACCCCAGTTCTACTCTAGTAATATAGTCAAACAGACAAATAGCGTTTACCTCGGTCCAGAGCTCTTAGTAATTACCCAGGATCCCAGACTCCAGTATGAATACAACTCAGGCTTCCCCAGCCCCCTAGTCCTCCACTCAACCCTCCCTTGCTGCTCCTGTCCCAAACCAGTATGTACTTGGCTTCTGCATTATTGTCCCAGCAGTTCTGTCAGACTGGAGTGCCCTTCCCAAATGCACCTTAACACCCTTGCTCTTTTCTGAGCCTACTCAATTCGCCTGTACTAATTATGCCTTTCCCAATGTCTCCTTTCCCCCTCTAAATGTATCTCTACCATTGATTTGACATTTAGCCACTTGACCTGTCATCTTAACCATGTAGTACCTTCCAATATGTCTGAAAGTGCCTGAATACCTAAAACTAGCGTGGTATATCCTACATGCTGGTGCATTATCCCTTGCTCCGCCGAAAGATCTTGAGATATAGTAAAGCAGATATTATTGCAGTTATAGTATTATTTCCATTTTTCAAATGATAACATTGAGGCTTAGAGATGTTAATTAGCCCATTCAGCTAAGAAGTAGCAAAACTGGAATTTGAACTCAACTCTGTCTACCTCCAGATTTCTAATTACTTTCTCTTTCTTTTCTTTTTTTTCTTTTTTTTTTTTTTTGAGATAGTCTCAGTCTCATTCGGTTGCCCAGGCCGGAGTGCAGTGGTGCAATCTTGGCTCACTGCAACCTCTGCCTCCCAGGTTCAAGTGATTCTCCTGCCTCAGCCTCCCAAGTAGCTGGGATTACAGGCACCCATCACCACGCCCGACTAATTTTTGTATTTTTAGTAGAGATGGAGTTTTGCCACGTTGACCAGACTGGTCCTAAACTCCTGACCTCAGGTGATCCACCCACCTTGGCCTCCCAAAGTGCTGGGATTACAGGCATGAACCACCATGCCCGGCCCAGATTTGTAATTATTTTCTAGAATAACTGAAATGGCAAAGAGGTTTTGCTTCATCTCAAGTCCAACTTCAAGTAATGGGCTGTAGCTGCCCAGAGTGCTGTGTAGGAAAGCCAAACTCAGACTCAGCAGGAAAGCAAACCATCCCTGACAGAGGAGCAAGACCAGCCATTGGTCCGGCGTTTAAAAGAAGGAGCACACAGGCCACCTATTTGCTGATCCCTGTACCGCACTGACTTTCCTAGGCCCGGATAGAGCCTTCTACGAGTGTGTGTATTCCACAGCACTCAGAACATAGTGCTTAACCTACAGTAGATGAGAGATAAGTATTTATTGTTTGATAGCAGCATAAACATGTTGAATGAGGCACAGCATCCCAGAAATTGCAGGAGCAGCAGACAGCCACTCAGGGAGTCGGAAGTGAATAGCTCTCCTCCGGGCCAGCCAAGCAGCGTTCACTTGGTGAACAATCTCAAAGTAGCATGCATGCAAAATAAAGTGTGAAGCTTATGAAAAATGGTTTTATTCAGAAGACTGAATATTGAAGTAAAAAAATCAGTTTCACTTCTGCATGATGATAATACTTTCCCTAGAACTACTCAGTAACAGAGAAAACCCACACACCACACAGAGCACCACCTCCACATATCCCGCTTGCGGTCATATTTAAGGTCACCCATCTCCTCTGGAGCTTTCCCATGGATTGCTGTAAGCTCTGCTCCCCGCTGCCACCCCCACTCCATCAATTAATGAATCAAAAGGGAGAGAAGGTGTTTCTAGCATGTACTGTGGTAAATTACTGGAGGAAAAGTTACTAATTACGGACACTCCTGCAGGCAGCGCGCATTCCTTCCCTCCCCTACCCTTTTGGTTTTCAGCCTCAATCTGGGCTCCCTACTTCCCACCCAGACTGTCTCCGGCCTCAGGCTGAGAGTTCTCTGTTTCCATTTCATCTCTTTTCCATACCTCTGGATGGGGATGTGTCCAGGAACCCAGGCCAAAACCAGCAAATTTATCACCGTGGTAATGACAGCAAGCCTCATGCTGAGTGAATTCTGCAATCCCCCTCAACTCCTTCTTTTGCCAAAACCCAGGAAGCTGCAAGATCCAGCAGGTTACAGACTGTTATCTGCACATGAAGAATAGCTCTGCTAGAAATGCAATTAGGTATCAGCCATAAGGCTATTTTTGGAAGCTTGTTTGGTGGGGGAGGGGGAAACTTGCCATGCAGTGGGAGATGTTAGTCAATTCACCAAAACTTGAGTTTCATAATTGTGACGTACCAGGTTGAGTGCACCTACTCTGGTCAAGGCATGGGGTTGGGAGGCACAGACTTGAGGAAGCATGTGTCAGGAGGCCCATTGTCAGGGAGGCTTATTATTGGGGAGACTTATTATCAGGGAGGTAGTTTCCAGGGAGCAGTGCAAACCAGTGTGTGCTCTAAAGGAGCAAGCCGCTGTCCAGGCTCATTAGGAAGGCAGTACCCAGGCATATGAGAAGCTCGTGGTATAAGGCTGTGCCCGATACCCAGGAAACAGGCAGGGCACCAAAGCGTCACTGACTCTCCATACTGCAGGATTAAAAAGCTTTTGATGACTCACTGTAAATCAAGAGATCTTTCTAAATGGTGTGTTGCATTTGTCACAGCAATATCTCCTTTTATTTGGAGCATGCATGTGCTATCCTGTCTTACAATTTAATTCAGCAGTGTTTGATGCAGCCTAGAGTCTCAGTCCAGCAGCAGCCTTATGTCCCCAACGTCTTTACTCTGCTCATATGGACAATAAGGGTCAAATCGCACCGAGTGGGGAAAAGATCCATTTGGGGCTGTGGCTGGCTCAGGTGTCAAAGTCATTTTCTTGTTGGATCCAGGTTCACCAATACTCATCATTGGGTCAAGTTTCCACTTCCCCAAATCCCCCTCAGCACACTCCTGAAGTTCCCACCCTTCCCCCACATGGAATAAGGGTGCAATTATTGCTTAGGCCCAGGGCCTGCCATGCTCTCTATGCATAATTCTCTCCAGTGGGGACACATGGAAACCAAGGCACAGACAAGCAGGTGCCCCAGACCCTTACCCAAGACAACGATGTGCCTGGAGATAGTGGCCTCCGAGGTATCACCTAAGGACTGGTGATGTTTGGCCTCCACAGAGGGCAAGTCGAGGTAGAGAAATCAGTCAAAGCATCCTCAGATGTGTGAAGGGCCCTCACCGCCAGTGACAGAGGATCTTTTTCTGTGCTGATCCAGAGAACAGGCCAGGCACACAGCTGAAGGTTATAGGGAAGCAGATGCAACTCCACATAATTAATTCCTTATATGTATCTTAATGGAATTGCTCGAATACATACAAGTCCGAAGGGAAATGCCCATTTCCTTCTGTAGAAGGGATTCCTAAATTGGGTGCAACGTTGAACTGAATGACCTCTGCCATCTCTCCCAACTGTAACATTCTAGGAGTGCCCTAGAACTCTCCATAAGTGATAAAGTCTCTTGTGACTGCTTCCTCGTCTACTCATCTTTTGAATTCTCAATTCAGCTATAGCCTTGGAGGTATAGAATGTACTTATGTGAGGAAAGAAATATCTTAAACAAGGAAGCAATGAATTTTCCAGGCTTTCTTGGAATCCCCCAGTGGCCTGATCACATCCCCCAAATGGGACATGCCATACAGACAGCACTGACATTTTAACAAGTGTGCTGAGCCCTTGGACATAAACAAACTCCGGGCTGCTGTTTCACCCATCCTTCATGCACGAAATCATGGAATTTTAGAGGTGGAGGACGCCTGGAGGTCATTGCCTCCCAGATCCTTCCCAGGGCAGGAATTCTCACTCTAACAACCCAACAGATGGTCACCCAGCTTCTGCTTGAACACTTTCAGGAAGGGGCTCATTGCTTTGCCAGAAGATTTAATCCATTTTGAGACAACTTAATCCATTTTGAGATAGTCCTCATTGCGAGCTGTTTCTTCCTTGTATTAAGCCCCAAGTCTGCTTTCATTTGACTTGATTTCTGCCCTCAGGAGTAAGATAAAAATACAGCTTTTTCTAATTCATATGACAATGTTCAGATATTCAAAGACAGCCATTATCTCCATTTCTCCTCTCCAAGTCTTGTCTTCACATCTAAATGTCTCAGGTCACCTTAAATATTTCTTGTATGGCATGGTTTCAGACCCCTCACCATTCCAGTCACTATCTTCTGAATATTTTCTATTTTGCAAATGTTCCTTTTGAAGAGTAACTCCCAGAACAAGTACCAGGTGAGGTCTCCTCACTTGTAGAGCGGAGTGGAACTGTCACCTCCCTGAAGGGAACTATCACTGTTCTCTGCTCACCATACCTTTATTAATGTAAACTAGAATTATATGAGTTTCACACCAAATGACCAACTATTAGGGTTATTGTCAGCTAAAACCACCATCTTTTTTTATTTGACACAGTTTCATATAGCTTAAAGAAAGATGTGGATTTTAAAGTAGGCCTAAAAATTATTAAAAGACCAAATTCTGCTTTTCCCTTTATTAATAATAGAAAAAACCATTTAGGAGAATCAGGGCCTCAGCAAAAGTTATGGGTGACAGACTAAGATACTCGAATCCTAAGATGATTGAACTCAAGGGTGAAATGTGTGTTTGCACTGATGTGCCAGCACCTAGGCCTTTGCAACCTCTTCTTCCAACACAATCTAGGAATCATGGAAGGGCATCTCTTGAAAGCTGTGCCTGCTTTTGTCTCCCTTACTCTACCTTTTTTTTTTTTTTCTGTAGTTTGCCACATGCTTCTGAGGCAGTCTTCCTCCAGCCCACGGGAAACCCACTTGTAGTTTTCTTTTGTGTCTTTGGCAGGTCACCTGAAGGAAGAAATCACCCAGCGGCATATACAGCAAGTAGCCCTAGGTAGGTACAAAGTAGAATCTGCAGGAAGAGGATGAAGGTATATAAACTGACCTGATTTTAGGAATCCAAACCCAGCTAAAAAATAACCCATTTAAAACCCTCTCTGAAGTTAACGATGGCAAGGGTTGCTATCCACATAGCTTTCCTTGGATGCCCCCCCACCAACAGGATCCGTTTCCCCAGCCTGTGTTCTTGCGCCTGGCCATCAGCACCTGGCACCCCACCCTTCCAGCTGTTGCCTCATCCTCCCCTCCTTTCCCACCCCACATCCCCACCTAAATTCACCCACTGTGTCCCAGATCCTCAGGGTCCTATCTGAGCTTTTCAGAGCCACTACTAACTAATCCTAACAGAAATAGTTAATGATGAAAACAGCATTTGTTTACAGACCTGTGTCTGTTGCACAGCCTCATATGCAATCTCCTTTCATCCACAGCAGTGCAAAGAGGTAAGTGCATTTACCAGATGGGGGAGATGCCATGCCTTCCCAAGGTCATGTAGCCAGTGAGTGTTGAAACAAGGATTTGAACACAACTCTGTTCCAAGTTTGGTTCTGTTAGCCCTCATGCTGCTTACTGCCCACTGCAATGGTCAACCCGCCTTAATGCATGAAGAATGCAAACACTAAACCAGTATGGTCCTATTCTAAGAGGCCCTTGGCACCTTTTAAGCAGTGGACATCTGCAGAAAACACCCTTTTTTTGCTATGTGACCCAATGAAGTCAGCTGGGAGAAGAGTATAGCTTGCAGAGGACTGATGGAGTGGGTATCCTAGGTAGAACCACCTCATCTCCTCTCCAGCTAGCTGGGATCAACAATTTATGGAGAGCTTTGATTAAATAAGAAATTCATGTATTTCAGACTAAAAAAGCTCCCCTTGAGTTGGCATGGGCCCTCAATTACCTGTAATCGGAGAAATCTAGCACCCAGGGCAATGGTGGAGAAATGGAGGAGAGCCTCTAAAGTCATGATGATGGCTCATTTGACTTTGGTAACTTGTATCATTAGGAAGGTTGGTTGTTTCATTTCAGTAGTAATAATGATGATATAGAATAAATACTGATTACATCAGGAACATAGAACAAGGGCACCTAAGCCACAGCGACTGGAGCTCTGAGCTTCCCACTGTTGGCCCTGGGACTGAGGGGTCAGGTACACTGCCCTCCCCGCACCAGAGACTTGGGCACACACTTAGAACTGAGATTCTGCAAAGTGTCTTCAACAAAGAGCCAGGCTGCCCCAGGGCCCTAACTCCTTGGGCCAGACTTTGGAAGGCAGAATGACCTCTGCTGGAAAACTGTACCAAGGTGACCTTATGGGCCTCTGTATCCTGCTTCATGCTCACCCTGGCAGGTCCCTGGATATGGAGTCATCCCCAAGGGCTGCCACCTGGCCGTGAAACATCTGCCCTCTTCTTCAGCCTTCATGTTACTGGTTCAATAGGAACAACAATGTAGGAAGTCCTAGCCAGAGCAATTAAGCCAGAGAAAGAAATAAAAGGCATCCAAACAGAAAAGAAGAAGTCCAGTTATCTCTCTTTGCTGATATGACTATTTACCTAGAAAACCCTAAAGATTCTGCCAAAAGACTCCAAGACCTGATAAACTACTTCAGCAAAGTCTCAGGATACAAAATGAATGTACAAAATCAGTAGCATTTCCATATACCAAAAACTTTCATGCTTACAATCAAGAATGCAATCCCATTTACAATAGCCACAAAAAACTAAAAATATCCAGGAATGCACCTAATGATGAAGGTGAAAGATCTCTATGAGGAGACCTATAAAACACTGCTGGAAGAAATCACAGACAACACAAACAAATGGAAAAGCATTCCATGCTCATGAATTGGAAGAATCAATATTGTTTAAATGTCCAAAACAATCTACAGATTCAGTGCTATTTCTATTTTTACCAATTGTCATTTTTACCAATTACCAATGTCATTTTTCACAGAATTAGAAAAAAGCTATTCTAAAATTCATATGGAACCATAGAAGAGCCTAAATAGCCAAGGCCATCCTAAGCAAATAGAACAAAGCTGGAAGTATCACATTACCCAATTTCACACTAAACTACAAGGCTACAGTAACCAAAACAGTATGGTATTAGTACACAACCAGACATATAGACCAATGGAACAAGACAAAAACTCCCGAAATAAAGCTGCACACCTACAACCAACTGATCTCCAACAAAGTCAACAAAAATAAACAATGGGGAAAGAACATCCTATTCAATAAATAGTGCTGGGAAAACTGGCTAATCATTTGCAGAAGAATGAAACTAGACTCCTACCTCTAACCGTATACAAAAATGAACTCAAGATGGATTAAAGACTTAAATGTAAGACTTCAATCTGTTAAAATTCTAGAGGAAAACCTAGGATATACTTTTCTAGACATAGGTCTAGGCAATGAATCTATGATGAAGACCCCAAAAGCAAACGCAACAAAATCAAACATAGACAAATGGAACTTAATTAAACTAAAGAACTTCTGCACAGCAAAAGAAGCTCTCAACAGAGTAAATAGAGAACCTACAGAGAAAATATTTGCAAACTATGTCTCCAATGAAGGATTAATATCCAGAATCTACAAGGAACTTAAATGAATGAATAAGAAAAAAAAAAAAAAACCCTATTAAAAAGTGGGCAAAGACAGGAACAGACACTTCTCAAAAGAAGACATACAAGTGGCCAAGAAACATACAAAACAATGTTCAACATCACTAATCATCAGCAAGATGCAAATCAAAATCGCAATGAGATACCATCTCACACCAGTCAGAATGGCTACTGCTAAAAAGTCAAAAAATAACAGTGTTGGCAAGGTTGCAGAGAAAAGGGTATATTTATACACTGCTGGTGGGAATGCAAATTATTTCACCTCCTCTGGGAAGCAGTTTGGAGATTTCTCAAAGCTCTAAAAATAGAACTGCCATTCAACCCAGCAATCCCATTACTGGCTATATACCAAAAGAAAAATAAATCCTTCTACCAAAAGACACATGCACTGAAACATATGTTCATTGCAGCACTATTCACAATAGCAAAGACATGGAATCAATCTAGGTGCCCATCAATGGTGGATTGGATAAAGAAAATGTGGTACACATCATAGAATACTACACAGCCATAAAAAAGAACAAAATCACTCCTTTGCAGCAACATGAATACAGCTGCAGGTCATTATCCTAAATGAATTAACTCAGGAACAGAAAACCAAATATCGCATGTTCTCACTTGTAAGTGGGTGCTAAATCTTGAGTTCACACAGACATAAAGATGGAAACAACAAACATCAGAGACTCCAAAAGGAGGGAGGGAGGAAGGGAAGGGAGCAAGGGCTGACAAACTTCCTGTTGGTTACAATGTTCACTACCATGGTGACAAGATCGATACAAGCCCAAACCTCAGCATCATGCAATGTACCCTTGTAATAAACCTGCACAAGTACCCCTCTATCTAAAATTTTAAAATGGAAATTTAAAAATAAAGAAACAATGATGTGAAAAATACCACTCAACTCTAGGGGGCAATTTTCATCTTGGGTCTGGGAGGCCATATCCATGGCTTTGTGGGCAAGAGATCTTCCATCCTTTCTGCTGCCGAGTCCCCGCCCCTCCCAGGGATGGTCCTTGCAGCTGGAGCAGACACTCCCTGGGCCTTTGGAAAACTGCTGTATATTTTCAATCACAGGCTTGTGCCTTAATTCCTCTGCTCATCTCTCTGGGAGTCTTCTGAATTACAGCAGGTGTCAGGTTCAGCAGCGCCTAGCTTTGCCTGAAGTAATCAGCAAACTTCAAACGGAAAGCACTTTGGCTGGAAGTCTAATTAAGAGTATTTGAAATACCTATTTATTTTAAAAGCATACTATCCCAATTAGAGAAGAAGTGTTAACATCTCCCAGCTGCCATTCTGAGATTAAATGCCATGTTGCCATCCAAACTCCTTAGGAGGTTGTCTGATGGAGATTTGGAACTGCCAGAGCTTGTGTGTCCCAGGTGGCCACATTTCAGATGGGAACTCTCCTCATTGAGAGAAACCTCTCAAGACAGATTGTTTATAGAACCTTAACCCTCACCCTTCAGCCTAGCAGTTGGGCTGAAGGCTAGGACAGAGGGCTCCTGTAAGAGTAAAGGCAGCCTACTCAGTATATCTGGATTCCCTGATGTTTTATAATTCAGGCTTCAGATCTAAGAGTAAAGAAGTGACTCAGTGGTACACCCCCTTTCATTTCTGTCTTTTTTGTGTATCTTGTACTACTGTCACCCTTTTCATTCTGTTCCCTTTGTCTGCTTCTTTTCACTTTCTCTCACTCTCCATTCTCAGCATTTCCTCTGTTACTGTTTCCTTCTTTTGCCTACATGTTCCTATGATTTCATGAAAGTGTGGGTGTGATTGGTTTGGGTTTGTTGTGGGGAAGGGTGATGAGCAAGTTGGATCAAGAGAGCTTTTCTTATATGTTTTGCGTAAGAATATGTCTCCGGATGTGTAAGTAGATGTGTGCCCGGGGAAATTTCTGTAAAGGCAATTCCATATCCCAAAGGAACAAAGACGTAGTGGTGATGTGAGAGGCACCATTTGGAAGAAATCATCCAGGGATGATGATAAGCCACTCCCACTGGTGTGCTGAGCTGGCTCAGTCCGTAAAAGCATAAATTGTTAATACTCCAGGAATTTGGGGAGCCATTTTTAAACAAAGATGTGATTAAAATTAAATTAGATAAGTTTATGATTAAATAAGTTATATTAAGAAACAAAGGTAACAAGTACTCAAAATTCACCACTTCCTAATTTACTACACTGTGTTATTATCTGTGCTTTTGAAGTGATCTGCAGCCACTGTATCTGTGTGGTGGGAACACTGTGTGATGGTGCGCTGCTGTGCCTCTCTTCCCAAATCCACATTTAGCAACATCACCCTGGTGGCTTAAAATCAGCCGTGCTGGAAATATTTACACCAAGGATATTGGCAAGTATTATAAATGGGGCTT